TTTTTTTTTTTTTTTTTTTTTTTTTTTTTTTTTACAGGCCATAGTTCCCATTGTATTAAACCCTTTCTTCCCCTCCCAGGCAAAGGCACTCCGAACTCTGCCTCACCTCAGTGCAACCTTCAGAGACTTGGAGCCGTGATACTTGGAGTTGATTGCCAGAGCGTTCTCCAGGAATCGGAGGGACAGGTCATACTCCATAACTCCATGGAGCACCAAGCCTATGTTGTTCTGAGGAGAACCACCAGTCAGATGTTAGAAGACAGCCAGAGGCACCTCAGGAAAAAAGTGAGTCCTGAGCAAACCCTAAGGCTCAAGTTAGAGATCAACTTGTGAACCTGCATTTCTTGTAGCTATTTATGTTGGCAGGAGCACCAAGAAGTCCCAAAAAGACATTAGGACCCCATTGTGCTAGAGACTGCACATGCAGTCTCCCTACCTCCTTGCCATTATGAGCTCAGTCTATGAGCTTTACAAGGCAAACAAGATGGAGGGGGGTGGAAAAAAAAAAAATCTCCATTTTAGATATGGAATGGGTAGTTGAGGAGTGGGCTGGTTAAATGCTTTCCCAAGGTCCACAGCTAGGATGAACCAGATCCCCCAAGCCTCCCCCCGGTGAGCGTATTAACCGGAGGCCAGCCTCCCCCCTCCACTTCCCCCAGAGAATCACTTTCTATGCAAGCCTCCTTCTCCTCACCTAAGAGGAAAAAGGGTGTGCAAAAAGCACAGCAGAAGGGAGGCAGAGGCAATGACTGTTCATAGGGAGTTAAGGTGGTGAAGAAGCTTCAGAGCCGACCACAAGGCTTGAAAGGGTTTATTCTGAAGGATTACTTACGTCCAGGAGTGCCATTTCTGGGTGATCCTCCCCAAATACCAACAGCATGAGGTAGCGTGCACGGTACAGTAAATTTAATGCTGTTGAGAGCTGGCTGTTTGCAAAGCAATACAAAGCAAGGTGCATCTACAAAGGTAAGAAACATTTGAGTGCCGGGTGTCAAACCCCATCGTGAAGTAGACAAAAGCTCACATCTCCTTTCCTATTGAGGGAAATATGTAGGAGACAGGCAGGAGAGGCAATGCCTCTCCTACGTGTCTTCCATCAACACGACAGACTTTAACTGCTACAAAAAAACTAGGTTGACTTATTACTGCAGAAGTGCACTGATGCATCCACACAACATACACCATTAAGAGCGAGTTGCATTAATAGTCTCCTAGTAATTTCAAGGAAGATTTCAAAACTGACCAGCATGTACAGTATCCAGCTATTACACGAAATCTTGCAAAAAAGTCAGGAGGGGGTGGAGAATAAGCAGGATGAATGTGAGATGAATAAAGGCATTGGGCAACTGAGAGCAAAAAACTGCACCCAACAAGAATCCAGACTGGAAAAGATAGGATAGGATGTTTGTGCCAATCCTCAGTTAAACTATTAGCTTACAAAATCATAAGGCTGAGACCCTTCAAATGACAGCAACTGCAAGAACACATTCTTATTGTAAGGACTGCATGCTTTGCATATGCACATCCAGAAAGGACTCAGTAGTGTTGGCAGCTGGGGCTAACGGAGGAGGACATTATTACAATCCCTCTCTCTCTCTCATCGCTGTCACCAAGCATTCATCATCTTGCCTGCCTTTCAGAACTTCATCAGTAACTCCTAAGGTAAGGGGTGCCTGTTCCACACATCTCGTTTCTAAGCATCATGAAACCTAGAGACACAAGAGAGCTTCCAAGACAAGTGTGCTACGTGGGAAGAATGGGATTCTGGGGAGAGTTCTGCAGGGCTAAGGAGAACAGCAGCTGCTTCAAGGATGCAGGCATGAATAGGTCATGCCACCTTTAAATCCTCATACTTACATATTCTTGGATTGTGTTGGGATGCTCAATGCCCAGGACCCTCTCGCTCATCAGTACCGCTTTCTGTTGATTACTTAAGGCCTAGAAGAGAACCATCAAGACAGTGACGCAAATGTTGAGCTATAAACTTGCAAGAGATGCCTTGCGGATAGCAGGAGGCTTGATGAGAACCGTCTCAGGACCCAGACTTCAAAACTTCTGTTTGGAGGCAAAGGAGGTGGGATTCTGTTCCAGCTGCAGAGGAGGAAAGCCCTGGGCTAACTGAGGTGGCACCAGTGGGAAACACTGAAACAAGGGAGCAATTTGTCTTCTTCAGAAGATTAGTGTTTAGCTACTTCTTTTCCCAGTTCAAGTTAATTTGCATTATTTTGCAGCCTGGAAGCGGAATTTATACCCCCACCCAGAAGAGGGAAACAAAGGGGAAGTGGCCAGAGAGGATCATGTTCACCATTTCACGCACTGTCTGGAAAGCTGCAGCAAGGATTGCATACCTCTGAATAGTCTCCCATGATATAGTTGAGGCGTGCTAACAGCCTGAGGCAGGCACAGATTTCTACATGCATAGCACCATACACATTGTTAAACAAGTTTAAGGCTTCATTGATGAGCTCACAGCCCTCCTTCAAGAAACCTGGAACACAAAATAAGTTGAGTAAGTGTTTACCTGCCCACCTCCCTTTCCTTCACATCTAGCTGCATGCCTAGACAGAAGGCTAAAAATTAAACAAGGTTGAATTTTTCTGCCAAATTCATGGGCTACCAATCTTAAGCAGTGCAAAAGCTCTACTTTTATTGTCAGAATCAGCACTATCCATACAGAAGTATACAGGAAGAACAAAGACAAGTCTCTGCGATTCAGGGAAAAAGTAGTGGGACAAATAGCTATTCAGTGACAGGTCGCCAGCTTGTTAGGACAGCCCAATTCTGCCTTTTCCTTAGTCTTGTGATAAAAATTTAAGAACTTCCTTGATCTCAGTTCTCAGACCCACACCAGGCCCCTCAGTGGTGAGGCTGTATTTTCCATGGACTTGGAAACTGCTCTTCTCCAGAATGGGATTAAGGGGCAGCTTGCCATGCTGCACAGTGCTTGGTACACGGTTAAGTATGGTCAGTGCCACCAAACACTAGCCTGAAGAAAAGAGGTGTGGTAGCATATATTGTCCGTACCTTGCTGTACTTTCGCTTGTCCACTCTGGAAGAAGTGGAAAGCGTCAGAGGCTTTGGGGTTTACGTGCTTCACTACAGGGAAGATGTTGAGAATATCCTCCTCCGTGAAGGTGGGTTTGTGCCGGTTGTCAAAGTTGTATTCTTTCAGCAGGATCTGACGGAAGCAAAAAGTAACAACTCTGACACAACCGATGCCAAACAGTGACTTTGCTTTGTATTGCGAGCAGTGGCACAATTTGGTCAGTCAAAAGGAGTGCATCCAAGCAGACCAATTTCCCTCAAGGACATGGGGCACATTTATCCTGCAATGGAACCAATTACAATCCCTTTGTAGGGCTACTTGTTGCCATAAATCCCTCGAAGGCACGCACAGTAGGGAATTAATCTGCAAAAGACCTTGTAGTATGAATCCACACATGCCTCAACCTAGGACATCTCCCATGGGAAGAAGCAACAAGGGAAAGAGGGAGGACTTGGATCTCACCTGGATTCCAGTTTTGAGGGAGATCTCTCGGAGAAGGCTGATTTTCTGCAGGTTATACACCTCTGCAGCTTGATCAATGCTTTCGCTGCAAAAGGACACAAAAGCCATATGTTCAGGGTAAGTCTGCTTTCAAGAATAGCCACCTAAGATGCACCTGAAGCCCTGAAAAAAAATCAGCAGCTGCAATACACTGTGCACCACTGCATTTTAACGCAACAAGGTCAGCAAAGCACAAGGATTACTTACTGGAACCTCACAGTGCGGTGTGTCTATTCTAGTTCTCATGGGTCACACGTGCCTCTGCCTTTCCTCTGTGTTAAGTGTCCGCACTGGGAAAAGGCAGAATTGGGGTGTGTCTGTTTTTGGTTAAAAAAAAAACTGAAGTGTCTCTACTCTCAGCTGGGTAGCAATGAAGTCAATCACGATCTAGGTCTGACAGTGGTCTTAAACACATTTTCTTCTTTGCTGTGGATGTTTTAGCTAAATGCTCTACTCTTCCCATCCAACCTTCATCGTCCCGCTGCCCTACTGACTGCATTGTCTGGTCCAGCACATCGCTGAGAGTTAAACTGGCATGCGTTCCAGTTTAACACCTGATCCTGGTGTCTAGGACAGCACCCTCTCTCTCCCTACTTGCTTAGATGGTGGTGGTTTCGTGTCCCTCCTGCTACGGGAGCTCTCTCCT